GGCCAAGGACTATGCAAAGGTGTTCAAGGTGCTGGTTTTCAGTTGTCGAGGCTACCAGAATGTCATCGAAATATGGGACACAAAAATCTAAATCTCAAAGGACTTCATTAATGAAGCGCTGAAACGTTTGCGCAGCGTTACATAACCCGAAAGTCATGACAGGAAATTCGAATAATCCAAAAGGTGTTATTACAGCAGTTTTTGGTATATCAGGTGGATTAACAGGGATCTGATGGTAAGCACGAGTCAAATCTAACGTAGAAAAAATATTTTGCCTTCCAAGACTTGCATGCAGTCCTGAAATATGAGGAACCGGATATCTATCAGGCAAAGTAACTGAATTAAGACCTCGATAATCCCCACAAGGACGCCAGTCGCCGTTTTTCTTAGGGACCATGTGGAGTGGACTGGCCCATGAACTTTTAGATGGCCGACAGATTCCTTGCTCAAGCATGTATTTAAATTCTTCTTTTGCAGCCTTTAATTTCTCTGGAGGCAACCGCCGTGCTTTGGCAAAGATTGGTGGTCCAGTAGTCTCTATGACGTGTACAATACCGTAGTCAGCAGTCGGTTTGCCAGTTACTGAGCGGATGACGTTAGGGTATTGCTCAAGTAGTTTATGTGGAAAGGAGAATTACCGGAAATTAATTTAATTCCAAAATTAGTGGCATTTCCAATACTACCTACCGCGGACAATTGTGTGATGGAGTCGAGTAAGCGTCGATTTTTAATGTCGACCAACAAGAGAAAATTTTTGCAGAAAGTCTGCACCAATTATTGGGTGCGAAACCGCAGCGATGACAAATCGGCCATTGGAAATTTGCGATGCGCAATCCTAGATCCAAAGACATTAATATTTCTCCTATATGTTGCAATTTTTGATCCCGTTAGCTGCAAATAAGTTAAATTTTCCAGGCGGCCGTTTAGGATTCGGCAAGAGAGGGAGGTACAACCGAAATGTCAGCACCTGTATCAACAAGAAAACGTCTGCCTGATGGTGTTATCTGTTTACGAACAATCGACTAATGCACGGGCCGTTGTCACTCATGGCTTCGAGTGACGGCTCCTTCAGTTTAAAGAGGTCTTCTGAAATTTGCATGGAGGTGTACACTTGCGCACTTTATCACCGAATCGGCTGTGATAGAAACAAATGTCTGCTTGAGTACCAGAATGAGAGCGTTGGTATTCCCTATTATTTCGGTTCCGGGACTTTGATCTACCACGCGGATGATACTGAGATCGTGTCTTTAATCACTCGCTTGATGTTGGAACACTATCATTAATGGAAGATGAAGCGACCTGCAATGATAATTCCTGGATTTGTTGTTGAAGAAATGAAATATCAACACTGGGATGCTGAACTTGACTAATTGTTTGTGGTTGGAGAACATCATGAATTTTGTCTGCCATTTGGGCCAGTTGGGGTAGGTTCTCGTTACTGGAGGCAAGAATAGCTTGGATATTGTTCTGGAGACGATTGAGCCACAATGATTGTAAAACATTGGACTTAAAATTGTCACCCGCAAGCTCCTGCATTTTTGACAATAACTGGGATGGGCGCATATCACCAAGTTGCAAATCTTGTAATAACTGCTTTAGTTTGGTGTTTTCAGACTCCTCATAAACTGAAATTAATTTATTTTTCAATTCCTTGTATTTATTATCGGAGGGGGTTTCACACACACACAGATCGTATTTTATTCTCGAGTGTCATGATGTAGAAACATCTTTTTACTCGACTTCTGATAAAGAGCGGGTGAACAATCTCACGTACTGACTGAAGAACCTCAGTGTCGAGGGCGGAAATTGCAATATAAAATTTCGTGTCGTCGCGTGTTATACTCCCGAGCTTGAATTGTGCATCTAATTGAAAAAAACCAAAGGTTGGGGTCACTACGGCAAAATGGGGCAGGTTTCACAGCAACGGCGAGCCATTTGTTTGTCATCAGTGGCTAGAGGATCACTAGTAGCCATAATAAATATAAATAAATACAGATAACAAAAAAAAAGATATAGTTCCAAGAATATTGTTGCAGTACACGTGTGAAGAAACACAAAAATAATTAATGTTAGGACCTAGGTTCTAATGATCTAGAACATGAGAAATGTAGGAAAAAACTCACCCGCTTGACGAATACATACGAATGCATGTGCGGAATAAAAGGTAGAAAATATCACCTTGATGTACAGAAATTATCCACTCGCTTGATGTTGGAACACTATCATTAATGGAAGATGAAGGTAATCCGCATGTCTGAAAGATGATCACAAATGGAAACACGAAGGTAATCCAAGTGGCTGTAATATGATGAAACTAATGCATACATTGAACTGCGGTGCTTAACCACCAGGGTGCCTGGGCGCCATAGCCCTACCCCTCATCGAATAACATGATAAAAGTTTCGAATTATGAGAAATATAACTGAATGTGCTAAATAATTAAATGAGTAAGAGTTTAAATTCATAATTGCTAATAGTTAAATACATATTTTTTCCTTAAGTACCTAATTACTAATCCATACATAATTAACTATTTTTAACAACTATTTCACAGAACAATACATGTACACACAAGAGAAACAAAATACGAAGTGCGACGCCTTAGTGCCACTAGTAAAAACAAAATGCAATCAAGAGGAAAAAAGAACAATATACAGTAAAGAATCTGAGCAACAATTTGCATAACACATATACAGAATTACATATTACTAACATTTAGGATCGCCCTTGGGCGTTTATTGAAATTGGGTCCCTAGTATCATAACAATAGTTAACAACCACGGGGTTGTCCAGAAGTTCCTGTTTATCATAAAATGCCCTAGATAGGCGGCAATAAAAATCACAAAGATTCTCTATTCTTAACTCTTTACGAATTTAGCTATTCCGAATGTACCAGGGGGGATTACATATCATACGCAATACCCCGTTTTGGGCAGCTTGTAACTGCCTTCTCAAACTTTTGCACAAATATGCCCAGACGGGGCATGCATAACTAAGAATTGGACGCAACATGGTTTTGTAAATGAGCAACTTATTATCAATAGATAGAACACTGTTTCGAGCAATTAAGGGGAAGAGTGAAGCTTTTACTATATTTATAAACAATAAAATCAATTTTAAAAAATATATAAAATTACATTTTACAAAATTGAGAAGAAAAAATTGAACAGTAAAAGCTAAAATATTTTAAATTTACTTTTCCATACTGAGCTCCAGCATCCAATATAACAACTTTTTCAGAATGGAAAACTCCATTAACACAATTTCCAGACTTTGAGTCCTGCATGGTGCAGTTCTCCCTACACAAATAATATACATATTATAAGTTGGCAAAAAGGTATAGCACACAATATCCCAAATTCAGAAGTAATACAGATGAATAATTACTACCCTTAGCTGAATCTAGACACGATAAGTAATCCAATACACATAAGTAAAAAATATTGGTTCAGCTGCATTTCGCACATTATTACAAGGTCTTGTTTAAGCACAAAATTTCTGCTGTACTATAAATTTCGACGATTCATTTGGCTTAAGCCTCACCGTCCTGAAGTCAACATTTGTTGCACGTGGTTGCGGCTGTGTGCAACAACAAACTATGCGTATTGGAATTTGCCAGTGCTTTTAAGAATGAATTCATAACATGCCATAAGAGCCAATTTTTTGATAACAAAAACATTTAATCACATCACAATATTAAAACTTAATTACTACTGTCGACAGACAATCACATTGGAGGAAAGCGAGCGACCAACCGCACCGACGACGAGACAGACAGACAGACAAAGTAGACAGATGTCTTGTTTTGATAGAAATAGCTCATTATAGAATAAAATATAACTTTAGTTAGACTTACTCATACTTTAGGTAAAAAGAATAGGTATCCTACGTCCTTAAATGTTTACTGAATGTTTCCATTTGGTTAATTTTTTAATATTCCTTTATTTGTATAAATTAATGCGCTGTGGATATATACACAACAGACTCTTTCTAACAGAAATGACAAAAAAGTGCATATGCTATCTCCATGTAAACACCTTTTTCTTGTAAAAACATTACGTACTTTTAAAAGTTTAAATTCAATACAAATAAACTATTAATAAGATCAGTAGGTTATTTAAAATATATTCCACACAATTCCTCTAAACTTTCATTCATAAACTAAAAAAATATCGAATGAAATAAAGGCTGTTTCCTTTTTTTTTTTTTTTTTTTTTTTTTTTTTTTTTTTTTTTCCGTTAATTACCACGCCTACAGGGCGATAACTTGCCATACCAAATATGACCGCCAAGCAGATGCTTCCTCCAATGAGAGGAACCCGTAGTGAAATGGTCTGTAGGCTTTGTGAATATGCAGAAGACCTTTATAAGCATTGTCCCTCCTTTGCTTTTTCCAGTGGCGAGCATTAGCAATAGCTAGTGCGCATAGGCTTTGGCTATTATTAAGGATAGAAGCGGTCGTCATTTTATTATGGAGGCAGCTAACGCGTGACGATTGTCTTCTATGAAGAGACCGACAATTTACATCCATGCCTTCTCCGTTATTCGAACCCAGGTCCTTCGTTACGGCAGTCAGAATCACTAACCACTTTCATATTTGGGTGGCTCGTCTCTTACTTTAGAACTCGAAATTCAAAACCAAACGAACAATAAAAAGTTGCCACAAAGTATTTACATTATAAGAAACATGCTAAATTAAATTATAAATATTGAGTTCGTTAACTTTCCTAAACAATTCACGAGGTCTATCTACCTGAGAGATGACTTCGTAGAGGCTCCTGCTAATTGGCCTTGTTCCTGGACACGTTACGCATGAGGAAAAATATGGAAGGGACAATGCTTAAAATTGTATTAGTTATATTCAGGGGAATTTACAACTTGTGAAATAAATAATAATATGTTTCAAATGTCATTCATTATAAAATAGAAAATTAATTTTAATAATACTTTTTTATATCTTGTTTTGAAAAAAAATTAAGTTGCGTATTGGCATCTGGCAACGTTTGATTACCCCTATATTGGACGTCGTGTTGTTTTTGAGTAACGAGGTGAAAAGTGAAATATGGCTCAGTGGGACTTGACATCAAAAATAAGTGTTTATTTAGATAGGCATTTAGTTTTCCCCTTGCTTGAATTCTTATCTGTTAAGCAGGTTTGATTTCTCTTAATATTTATCCTTTGAAAAATATTATGTGATCAGTTTGCCGGATTTTATGATGTGTTTCAGTACTGTGCAGCCCGAAATTCTGCTGAATGCTCGAAACTGTAAAATTGCAAAAGGTTTAAAACCATCACAGTTATTAATATGTTTCTGTTAAATTTTATGTGCAATTTTTATTAAAGTTCAATACCGTTAGTTACCAACCGATATTTACCACTTAGCTCATTTTGGTTGTTACTTAAAATGTAAATTAAAGTTTAAATAATTTAACTCTTGCAAAGCAAAACCATATGACGCTTTGGCTCAAGGTATTTTACTTGCACAATAAAACTCGGTTAGCCAAAGGCAGTCGAAAGTAGTTCACAAAAGCTGGCTAAGAAAATATTATGAAGGTCAGCTTGACTGTTAAAGCTCCCCCTCTAACTTTCAAGAATTCTCTATTGCTCTTAGTGGGGTACTTAGGAAAGTGTTGGTATAAATCAAATAGTATGATGATGGATTAATTAAACATAAACATTATATACTATATATATATATAGTATACTTTTCAAACTCTATAAAAAGAGGATTTAGATATCTGATAACCACACGTACTGCTTTACCAGTTACTTTAATGTTATGTGTAGAATGATGTCTGCAAGTTTCATGTATGACTGCAGTGTCTACCCACGAAATTTTTCTTTTAATTATTTTAACATACTTTCTCTTTATTTTGGATTAAGCCTGAACCATCATAAAATAAGGATTAAATGTATTTCTTTTAAAAATTATTTACTTAAATTTCAGAATCTAATAAAAATCCCCAAATTTAGTTAATCTTCAAATAATTTTTCATTTTATGGTGTTTTAATTATTGTTAAAAGAGAATGGGGTTTCTGAGAGTGTTCAGTAGTTATAATTCAAAGGCATCATTTAAGTGAAGTTGAAAAGTGACAAATGATCAGTAGAATCGAATGAGGTCAAACACAAATGGAGGTCATACAAAATGTGAATATCGCTCAAAGTGTCATATCAAGAGTTTGAAGCCATTTGTAAAGTACTGGATTAGTTGATGGACATCCTGGTCGAGGGCAATGAAGAGCAACAGTATCATCAGAAGACAGTTTTCTGGGTCTGTCGGCTCAAGAAGCCATGAAGCAACTACATTAGATTTGGTTTTAAACCTTCTTTTGCCAGAGAAACTCGAATTAGCTGTTCTATTTCTGCACAAAGGCTTAACGAGGTTTGACTGTATACAAGAAAACAATGATTTGTATTCCACTCTAGCCTCTGCAGGGAGCCGTTTAAACTGGTACCGTCATCATGTTCAATCGAGCAAAGATGACTAGGCCCGAATATTGTTTACTGGTGAGTCCAGATGTAGTCTCAACAGTGATTGTCACTGCTCGGAGATATATGGATATTGCAACCCCAGGTTAGACTCTTTATGGGTGCTGTTGGCACAGAGTTTTTGCTGATGGACGGCAATGCTCGGTCTCATCGCACTTATGTGCTGTGAGAATGCTTGCAATGAGAAGATACCATCAAATGGTTTGGCCACCTTACGTAAAACCAATTGAGCATAAGTGAGATGCCTTAGCATTCCAGCTTCTTCAACAGCAAATTTCAGCATGCCAGCTTCCCTGGACCTTCCAGGAATGCACTCAGCATGTAATTCCATAAGATTTGATCAGCACTTTGTCTATGAAAGTCTTAAGTCTATGAAATCAAAATGTGAGATATGTGTATTTATCCAAGTTGACCATACAACATATTAAGGAAAAAATTTTCTTTAAAAGGCAACTTCATTTTTCCATCATTTTCAAATTTCGATTTTACTTTCAATATTTCATAAATAATCAACTGGCAAACATTGTAAATTATGTTAACTAATGCTTTTGTACAAATTTCTATTAATAATTTTTCATTAAGTATGAGTTACATTTTATTTCTGTCATTGTTTAATTTTGATGACTTATGTATATCCACCCCACTATCCTGTTTTATTTTCGCAGTCATCAGTCGTGGTCATGTACTTCTAGTTACGGAATTGTTTTAAATGATGAAACTATTCATGTAACACATCAAAATATAGATTGATGTTTCAGCAATGTCAATTTTTTTAAATTAATTTTTGATAAATAATGAAATCAAGCTCTGTATATTTACGTTCGCAAATGTTTTGTAGGTGTTACAAAAAAAAATTAAATTACAAGAAGTATGACTTTAAAAGGGTATTTAATTTCAAAATTTGGAATTTTTTATGTCATTTTTAAATTGCCTTGAGGGATGGGCCAATTAAGTTAGAATAATTCAAGGAAATAAGTTTAAATGAAGTTCAACAATGTGTTTAATTTAAGATCGTACAAGAAAGTCGTCGTGTCATATCAGATTTTGTTTTTAAATAAAAAGAGCATATGACAAAAAATTTCTTAATAATAATATGACAATTTCTGTGTTCTCTGTTCTTAGCAAAAAAAAAAAAAAAAAAAATCCACAACACATGCTAGAGTTATTTAATACGAGCTCAAGAAGCCATATTTATACATCCACTTTAATCAAGGTTACTTCTCATCAGTAGTAAGAAAGTAATGAGAAGAAAATTCACTTTGATTTTCAGGTGACCCATGTCACAAGAATTATATGGAATAATAGAATCTTGCAATTTTTAGACTTGAATTAATGTTTTTATAATCACCAGCATCTAAATCTGTCTCTCTCTCTCTCTCTTTTTTTTTTTTTTTTTTTTTTTTTTTTTTAGGTGTATGATGAAAGAGAGCTTTTACTTGGGAAACTTGAAATTGTGAAAAACACGAGAATGATCGATTATGCTATTGACATATTTAAGCTTTTGTATCCAAATGAAAAAATTCCAGAGGGTAAGTTATTTAATAAATCAGATTTATCTGTATGTTTTTCAGTGTTGCATATTGTAATAAAATTAATGTAGATTCAGTGGAATAGCTCATACCTAACCACTTCAATGTTACGCTGAGACAGACTTATCGATTTGAAAATTGTCATCTGGCATCCGCAACGATACACACTTGTTGGGGATTTAATGCAGCCTTGATGGTCACTTCCAAGAGAGACTTATTGTTTCATGTTTCACATCTCTCCAAAATGCAGCCAAAATGATAAGAGGTTATTAATGGCTTACGTGGTCATGCTCTTTCTACAAAGGGGTTGTATCTGGATCCTATAAAGGAGAGTTCCCTTAAGAGTACCGAAAATAGGAATGCTGTTACGACCCTTTTTCGTCTGGTATTGCAGTAGATTACTTACTGCCCATGTGAAAACTTGTCTTTTGGAGATTGTCTTTGTTCATTTTCAAATAAGACTCTAGAAAACACAAAATGTTTTTCTCTTGAGTAGGGAGATGATATTGAACATCTTTGAGTGTGATAAGTAGGCAACTTTCTAAATATGCCTTGACAGCCTGTGAAAAAGGAAAGAAACATATCTAAGGCCTTTTCAGATGTAAAACGTTTATCTTTGGAGGGGGGTAAAAAAGAAATACAATACAGAGTCCGAAATCTGGACTCGTCGGGACTTCGGCGATTCCAGATTTGGGATTTTTCCGGATATTAGATCATGAATTTAAATCTGCAGGTTTCGTAGCGGTCCTTACAATTGCTTATAAGTCCTTACATTTGAAAATAGAATATAAAGGCTCTTATAGGTGCTTACTTTTTCTTTAAAGCCCTTATTTTTTTGTTTTTAGTGCTTATTTTTTTGCTTTTAGTGCTTTCTTTTAATCCTTTTTTTTTTTCCTAATGAACACGCATTTTTCCCCATACCAAAGCCCAAAACTAAATAAACAACTTTTCTTCCTTATATGCAACATCAGATGGTGAATCATACTCCCGGAAATTGCTTTCCACCCCTTTCTCTGCATTAACGTAACATATGGTGCGCGCGAGAGAATACAGACAGGTGCACGTCGTTCTGCTGGTGAAAGAATTGCGAAAACGGTAGAAAATTCTGGTACATTCGGTATTCTTTTACCTCCCACCCAAATACTACACACGTTTGAATTTCTATCAAGATTTTAATAATTTGCATTCTTGTTCCGCGTGGTCAGTTCATATTCGTGTTTATTATGATCGTTATGCTTATATTATGAGCATATGCATGAATATTTATAATATAGTTGCAGTAACTGCTGAAGTATAGATAAACTTCCAAAAATAGGTGTGTTTTTACACAGATTAGCTTTCTAAGGAATAATATTCGGAATGGCTTAAATAAAAGGAAAGTAATCGAATAGTCAAAATAATTTTTTTTTCCCCCTGCCAATACATTATACAGTACGGAGGTTGGGAGGTTCTCTCCTTTCGCAAAATCTCTAATATTGAAGCAGCGGACTTTTTTATTGTCACTGTCCAATCTGGATTGAATAGGACTGAAAGTTTTTGTGGTATACCCAACCCAAGCAAAGATTGATTCTATTCCGGAAATTTAACGCAGTCTGTTGAAAATTAGAATCAGAAACACCCCAGATTAGTAAGTCTCTTTCTTTTCCTTTATTTAGTTCTTCATTCTTCGAATACCGGCAGCTGTTGATTCCGATTGCGTAATATCACATGTGGAAGAGTTACGCCGCACATATTGCACAATAACGTTTGCGGTATTTTGCAGAGATAATTAATTTTGATGTTCAGTCTCAGATTTGTTTATAAACACTTAAAAGAGTTTTACTGTGCTTTCTAAGCAGAATATTTCTCAGTTCCGTCGGTCTATGTTTATATGATGCACATATCGAAATGTCAAAATCATTTATTTAGTCGAGAAATCTAAAGAACGGCTACAACCCACATAGCACAAAAACATCCTTGGAATATCCCGAGGATGTTGCTCGCGAAATATGCACACATCCTCAGGACATCCCGGAATATCCGTGAACCTCCTAAACACCTCCTCCTGAGTGCTTAATGTCACATCCCGGGATATCCTCAGGACATCCTAACTAAGTCCCATTGACAGCGTGCGGGATGTTATTAGGATATGAACTCCTACTTACTACATCCTCAGGACATCCCGGGATATCCCACTAACCTCCTAAACACATCCCATTATATCCTAAAAACATCCTATCTATGTCCCATCGACAGCGTATGGGATGTTATTAGGATTTAAAGTCCTACTTACTACATCCTCAGGACATCCCGTAATAACCCAGTTTCCTCCTAAACTCATCCTCCCTAGTGCTTAATGTCACATCCCAGTATATCCTTAGGACATCCTATCTAGGTCCCACCGACAGCGTATGGGATGTTATCAGGATTTGAAATACTAGTTACAATATCCCTTTAACCTCTTAAATACATACTCTCAACTGCTTAATGTTACATCCCAGTATATCCCCAGAAATCTTTATATTCCAGTGAAAGTGTGTGAAGGTGTTGTGATAACCTGAAACTTGCTTATTTTCCACAGACAGTCTCAGGTCCTCCATCTGTGGTTACTATGGAAAAATAAGAAATGTTAAGAATATTTATACAATTTATTTTCTAATTTGAATTTCAATTTATTTAATAATTTGTAAATATATCTAAAACTGAGCAAGAGACTTGAAATGAATTATTAATACAAAATATTATAAGAGAAAATTTTGCTTTAAAATATTAAAAATCTTTCGATCATTTTTAACCATTCAATAGCCCAAAACTGAATTCTTCGATATATTCATAATTAAATTATTCTACAAATTCAGTTCTGACTAATTTGTATTCAAAATTCAATAATAAAATTAAGCATTTAATAACCTTTAAGTAGTGGACCAGATGTGTGTAAATTTTGAAATTCTGAACTTAAGTCGGTTATGTTGATTGAATCATTATTCATGGCTACAATATGATTAAACAGTTCATGAGTTCGTCTTGCTATTGCTATTTGCTGTAATGGAGCGGAAGATTTTCTAATCAATTTTTTTATTTTTTTATAGAAGATATATAGCTTTCAAATTTAAATGCACTGTAATTATCTAACGGCCCAAACATTTTTACATCTTCGCAAATATGCAGTAGGCCGTGAACATTATGAGCAATATACTGTTTTTCATAATAAAGCCCAAAATTTACTACGAAGAGTTTTAATAGAGACTGTGCGTATTCATCAATTGCCGTCTGATTCTGTATTTTGCATAAGAGTCTAATCGAAATATGAAGTAGTAAAAAATGATCATGTAGCTTTTTGTTAAATTTAAAAAAAAATAATAAATAAATAAGTGGGCTAGTGTACAGTAAAAATTGACGGTATTCTGTAGCTTTCCAGTGTTTCAATTCTTTTAGAGTTGGTTCCTTGGTTTTCTTGCAAATTCAATTGGTACATAAGGCTTTAAAAACTGGTCATTTAAAAAAAAAAAAAAAAAATTAGTTCAACATTTTTATGTGGTAATCGTGCTTGTAAGGTGCCTCCGCCTATCCTAATAGTAATCATTTTTTGTACTACTCCTAAGCACACAAGGGACATAAAGTCTAACGGAATATTTATTAGTCCTATATTTGGAATATTCCTTAAAATGGGATAATCGTTTTGGTAATCGTCATCAGTCAGTTCTTCTTGAGACATAAAAGTTCATATTCCGAATCACAGTTTGAAATGGAACTTAAAGAATATTTGCTAGCGCGAAAATTCGACACAGTCCTTTTTCATAATTAAATACTACTTCATCTTCTGACGAATCCGATAATATACGTTGATTTATTCTGCTGTAAATCCGTCTTTTAGATATCTGAGATAATTTTTTTTTAGTTCTGATCATTTTTGTAGAATAAAGGAAACATTTAGAAACTTACTTTTCACACTCTGTCAATGTAACGCTTGCAAGCGTCAGCAAGTCAGTTCGTAACTGAAAGAGAATTTGGAACGACGGCTATTAACGTTTAGCAGAATAGCTGAATTCTGGAAATCTGAAAGTAAGTACGTGTACTTTCCACTTTGTGGGGTTCTTCAAGGATATCACTATTACGGAGCAATTAAAACCGTTGGGGGTGTTCTGCGTACTTTGTTGTGAAGGGATGTTTCCCTTGTAGGGGGATACAAAAGAAGGGAAGGTTTGACACATAAATCTGCCACGTTAACAAAAGAGAAATCTTCTTGGGGCATCGGCTACAGAAAAAGTGCTCAGAGGTGTTACATTCTGAGCGGAGCTCGGTTTCTCAAAAGCAAAGAAAATTTGAGAAGCAGTTTTACGAACCAATGATAATGATGGATCAAAAACTTTAAGATTTTCAACTTCAATTGTTATTTATAGTATAAAATAAAGTAATAAAACTGCTGAGTTTAAAGAACGCGTTTAATTTAAAAATTAAATCATTTTAATTTAAAGTTTGAACATCTATTTAATCCGTTATCTAATTTTGAGTTTTCATAACAACATTTAACTTTGTGTTATATACCTTGAAGAAACGTGTTTACTGCATTTTCTGGATGTTACAAATAAATTAATAAAGCAGCAATTATTGTTAAATTATGAGGAGTCATGTAGCATTGTCGGCATAACGTATAAGACTGCAGAGCGCTGGATATATTTTTTTCGCGCTTTGTTTAGCAAAGACCGAATATTTGTATGGTTAAAGAGGTAGCAAAGTGAGGTTTGAGGAGAGTAAGAACTTAATGTTAGTTCTTCCCATTCTCAAACCTTATTTTCCTATTACAGAGAGGTAAAAAATAAGTTACTTCTTACCTCAGTCGCTTTGAAAGACTAATTCTCATTATTAAAGAACTTACCAGAAAATGAACGAAGAAACTGCAATGAAATTTTTAGCCCAATAAAATTATTCTTATGTTTATAAATTCAAATTAAAGCAAGTTAAACCTCGTACAGACTAGTTTTTAACTGCGTCTGTAAACTAAAATTTCGTTTGTTAAAAAA